TTCAAATTTTCAAGAAAGATCTCAAATCAGAAATTCAAAAATAGATTAACTTGAATGCTAAAGATACCATGAAAAGTTAAATGATAATATAAATGATGAAATAAAATGAAAGGATAAGATAAATATTCTAAAAAGAAAAAGATAATAATAAAAATAAATAAAATTTATTATTAAATCATTTCTAAAATATTTCTAAACTATTTATAAATTATTATTAATTTTGGAGCTAATTATTTATTAATGATCTTAAAATGTTACAAAAATATTACAAGAATATTGCAAAAATATTACTAAATCATGATTGAATTCATAATTGATATACTAATTATATTATTTAAAATCACATATTTTCTAAAGATTAATTGATTAGTCAAATTTTTCAAGTTTGAAAAATTATGAAATTAAAGAAATTTATGTTACTATAATAACAGTAAGCAAGAGTAAGTAAGTAGACAAGTGAGAAAGTGAGAATGAATAAGTTAATAATAATTAAGTGAATAATCTTATAAGTAATCAAACAAGCAATTAAGAAGATAGTTGAATGAAAAAGAATAAGTGAGCTTTAACTATCAATAAGATAAAGCAAGAATTTAATAAGTCTTATTTTATTTGAATATTCTTAATATTTAAATTATTTTTAAGTTATATTATAAATAAAAAAAATAAAATACAAGTTTATTCTTAATGTTTAAATTATTCTTGAGTTACATTATAATAAAAAAATAAAATACAAGTTTATTCTTAAAGTTCAAATTATTCTTGAATTATATTGTAAATAAAAAAATAAAGCATTAAGTTTATTATTCTTGAATTATATTATAAATAAATAATAAATGCATGACATTCTCATTCTTAAAGATATCAGGGACAGACTCCTCGAAAAGACAGAATGTGATCGGAAGTCACATGATCTGTCATTTTTTTTCTATTTCACTTTGTTACTAAATATTATTCTCATGACTTTGGGATATTTATAATTTAAAGTTTGTGCGACAGAGATTCGGAGAAAAATTTTCCCTCATCAACTACGTAATGATGTGATAAATAAGGAATAATTTTTTAATGTCTTCCTGTAATGTCGTTCAACACCTTCGTAGAAGTATCCGTCAACCTGTTCAGCCTCAACAATTGTTCTTGAGGCCTTACACAAACTCTACATTTCGCCAGCCCCCTTCCGAAGAGTCAATTTCTTCCTCCAACATGAATAAATACCTAGATAAATTCGGGAAGACCACTGCAAAACGGATTCCAGTGTGAGATTTATTGTAATTTGTTGTGGATTGTTCAGTCAAGTTTCTCAACACCTTTTCGTTATTTGTAGACTGCCATATTTGCAAAATTAATTGTAATTGGCCTTGTTGGTCTCATGTCAGTGGACCTTCTTTATGCCCGGTATCGGAACAGATGCAATGAGCATCGTCTCATTGAGACTGTAGAAAAAGGCACTCAACCCGAAATTGGTGATGAGTTCATCCCTCGACCTCTACTTGAAGAAGGCTTAAAGCAAATTTTTCATCCTCCTAAAAATCATTCATCTTACCATGTCGTCTGTGGTGAACATGGAACCGGGAAAACTACGTTGACGAGATTGACGGCAAGAAAATTTGGACAGGGCGTTATATATGTTGATGTTCCAGCAAACCTTGACGAATTTGGTGACGAATTTGGAAAGGCCCTTAATTTCACATTTGAGGAGCACATCTCTTTTACGGGACAACTTTTGCAAAAAATCTTAGGGAGGACTAAAGGTAGAATTATCATTATCGCTATATTATTAGAAATATGTATTTTTTGATCCAGATTCTCTTTCTTATAGAGGAATCAAAGCATCACAAGTGGGTAAGAGCTATGGGTGCCTTTAAACTTGCCTCCGCCGTATACAAAAAGAAACAAGGCAAACCACCAGTCATTGTTTATGACAACGTCAGCCGATTGGTTCATAAGAATCCGGATATCCTTGATACTCTCCAGGATGATGCAAAGGACAATGCCGATTTCAGTAAATACATTGCAGTATTTGTCTGTAGCGAAGGTTCGGTCCCTCGAAGAATGGAATGTAAGTACTGCATTGTTTTTTGGTGCACCCCAAGAATCGTTACTTACAGATTGTGATTCTT